AAAAATAAGTTGAAGTGTGATTAAAAATACGAAAAAACTTTTTCGACTACCCAATATATTATATTTTCAAATAAAAAATTTGAAATGTTGGAAAATATTTTATTTTTGCCTTTTCTCTGTTAAATATTTATTATTGACTTAAACATATTTATTTTTCTAAAAAATTTCTTACCTTTTGTAACTTTTTCCGTATTCCAATATTTTTTTCAAGATTAAAACAAGTTTATTTCACATTTAGACACAAAATCTCAGTTATTTTCTCTATTTCTCATTCATATTTCATGTGTGTTTTGTTATAAATTTCGTTAAATCAATTGTTATTATTTTTTCGCTATCATTTCACTTMAAATATTTTAAATACATACATACTTTTATATGTAAATAGGAGGTACATACATGAAAATAATATATTAAAAAATAAAACAATTTATTAAAAAATAGTTCAGCAATTAAGAAGAGACTTACATATATACATACATATGAAAACGGTTATTTTCCTATAACACTAGAAGCTACGAATTTATTATTTTTTCTATGGAAAACAGTTTTAGGGCAATCGCGAGGGCTTCTAAGTAACGGCTACTATATAATTTATATAATATGACAAAGATATACATACAAATGGTGTAAAGTTGAACGTAATAAATAACTTTCAAATATATATATGTATTTGTACAGGAGTGTTGCAACTACAAAACTCGCATACAGCTACACACAGGCGTGTAACTGTAACAATTTGGCTTCAACAGACAATCAAATCAACGAATATCAAATGTTTGTTGTAACTAGGAGCTTAGGCGCTGACTTCCAGATTATACCATATAATTTACACATGTACATATGTATGTACATATATACTGTGCTTTATGTATAGATCATTATTTATATAATATATTAGAAGTCAGTCACTCGCTATATAATCAGAAGAAAGTTTCTTTCTTTTTAATTAAATTAGTTTAATTAAATGTAATTTAATTAATTAGTATATAATTTCATAGTGTCATATTCCACAAACAATTCAAATACTAATTGGGCGCTTAACATTTAGTGTACATGTGTATGTATGTATCGCTTAAACTCTCATCAAATTCAACACTCGCCTCGCCTAAAACGCTTATTCCACGCTCAACAATCTTATATATAATTCTTCTGAGTGTGTTTAGAGTAAGTATATAGTATTTGTATATACAAGAAACTAACAGCAACTATACATACAGATGTGTATATAGTATAAGTGTATATATGTGTAAATATATGGTGTGTAATATACTATATATAATGAATATGCTAATTTCCATTGCGTTAAGGAATAGTTAACTTTTTAGAATTCTCCACATAAAATCTAGTTAAAATATGTCGCTAACATTTAAATGTGCTGCTTCTTCTTCTCAACAAATACTATTTATGTATATAAAAAGAATTTCTGAAACTTGCAAATAAAACGCAAGACTGCTGCCTTGTGCTAGTTCGGCTCACTTCGCTCAGCTGCGTCAGGTTGCGCGCTTACTTAGTTCGTTAATATTGTTATAAAATTATGTAATAGGTCTCGTTATGAAGAAAGTCTTCTCTTTTCTACTTCTTCTTGAAGATATATATATTTTAGTTCTATATATATGTTTTTTAGTTGCAATATCATTGTTAATACTATTATATAAAAAATTTACAAGACTTAAATTATAGTGAGGAAATATACAAAAAATGATTTATTTCGCTGATCGTACAAATATAAAAATTTTTTTTGGCTTTGAGTAAAGTATAAGTTTTCATGAAAGCATAACTCCTTCCTGCAGGAGGTTGTGCTCAACTCTGCTTGTGTGCTTTAGATTGGCTAGTAGGGATGTTTTGTTGGAAGAGTTTCTATTTTCGATATTTTTGTGTATATAAGAAAGTAAGTTTGTATATTCTTCGACGACAAAGATTCTTCTAAAAACTTGATAGATTTTAGTTGTTGTTTTCTAGAGCTAAGATGAAATGAATTTTTGGTCTGCAGGGGAAAACAAACGGGGTTGAGAAAAAAGATTTAAAAATTAAAAGCGGGAAAACACGAAAATAAAGAAATAATGGGAATTAGAAAGAGAAGAGATAACAGAAATATGAAATAAAGTAATAAATAAGGTAAAAATTATAATAAAAACAAAACTAGCGTAAAAATTGCAAATGAAAAAACCAAAAATTAAAGATTAAAAAAAAAAAA